CCAGAAATAGCTAGTTTTGCACTCTGTCTAGTTCATTTAGCCCTTCTTGGTAGAAGAAATGTCATTTGTAGCTGGGAAGCTTGTCTGAGTAAAGACTGCAGATAGCTTATTGAACCACTAGTGTATTTTCCTTGACACTGTCTTAGTCACAAAATTTTGAGAGGAGGCTGGCTTTGCTTTGGTTTCAGCAGTCAAATGGTTGTTGAAGGTCCATTAAAGCTCAGTGTCCTTTCTGTCTCAGCAAGATTTGGCCCCAGAGTGGTTCATCTTCATTTCTGAGGCCATTTTCTTTCTTACTAGTGTTCACAAGTCTAGTAGAGACATTTCTGCTTTGGGTTGTTCTCCCTTCATGCAACCTTATTTGAGAATAACAGAATATTTGTGTTTAAAGTAGTCTGCTTTTTGTAGATCTTGAATGTAAAATGTCCAGAAAGATTTGGAACACAGTGGGGTATTAAACTAATGCAGAGGGATCCTTCTGTACTGTGGTGGCCCAGTGCTCTGCAATAGATTAATTCACTGTATTCCAAGGGGAAGTATGGCCTAGCCCTATCACCACTGTCCCCCTCCCAAAATCTTCATCCTTTCATTTTCCTTTCAAAGTCTGAGCAGTTGCACTCATCAGAGAATATGCTGAATGCATACCCTTCTTTGGGACGCCTGGAAAGCAAGCTTTTTCTATTACTGTTATAGTGAGAACCTAGTACCAAGTCCTCTGACATGGAAAAAACTTAATAGACTACACCAGTATAGAAAAGGGGCTTGTAATTCTGGTAGAGAATGGCCTGTTTTGGAAATAGCCTAACTTCAGCTTGCTATGTGAAGTCATGGAGGCAGAAGGACCCAGAATATTGTATGGAGAGTGCCATCTGGCTTAGGTCTCTACAGCAGGTGTACATTAACTATTTTAAAAAAATATTGAGTTGTCTCTGTGGAAAAGATCTGCTGTTGGAGAGAATTTATAAGGCTTAGAAGCCAACCAGCTATATTACAGACCTGGACATTGCAAAAGCCGTCTATATTGAGCAGTGTGGTTAGCAGTGCATTTGATTTTTTTTTTTTTAACTTGTTTTTTCTTAGTGTTAAAGGGCTCCTGCTTATTGTAGCTTGAGTATCAACAGCTCCCTAATCAATGGGGTTTTTTTTCTTTTTCAGTAGGTTTGGTCCTCCTCGCTTGAGCATTTTTCTCCCCTTCTCCCCAAATTTGCTAGAAGTCCAAATAAATGATAGTCCCTTTAAACTATGGAATGCCATTTTAAAAATTATTTAGTCTCTTCTCCCAGGCAGGTCTCTTCCCTTACCCCTCCCAGCCTTTGCCTGCTGCTCCCCCTTTTTCTACGCACACAATTTCAGATTTCCGCTGCAGTTTTCACTTTCTTGTGGAGTAGAGGCGGCACGTGAGATTGGTGGAGCACTGCAAGAGTTATGTCCCTGACCAGCCTGGAGGCTGCAACACCAAATAGATGGTGCTTTCTAGTAAACAAGCAGGGGAAATGTTTAATCTGCCCCATCCCCATTTTCTGTGGGGATTTTTATTTCAGTTTATGGCATCTTTTGAAGTTACGAGTAAGCGTATTTTCAAATGCAAATGTGATTTCCCACCCCCCAGGTTGATATTGCCCCTTTTTAAAGGAGTTTTATATTTTACTGGGAAGTGCAGCAGTCCAGACTTTGGCAGAAAGTGTGGGTTGGGAAGGTTGTAAATATAGTATATTATTATCAGTTCCCCAGTCATTAAAGTTGTAGCAGAGTTCCACACCTGGCTACCATCATAAGGAGCAAATCAAAAGTCTGGGAAGTAGATCACCTTATTTGAGGCATGCCTCACATTGGTAGTCTGGATCCTTGATGTATCACTTGGTTAGACAAAATGCACGAGCACAAATGGTAAGAGTTTCTGATCTAACTCGTTATATAAAACAGCAAATAATTTAAAGTTTATGTCACTGCAGAAAAAGCAGCTTCAAGCAGTCAGGTCAGTCATACAGGGAGACAGCATCTTCCCCCTTTCTCCAATGATTTGTCAACTCTCTTCCTTTGTTGTGTGGTCTTTTTAGGACAGATGATATGAAGATCAAGCAATAATGTGTGACTGTTCAGTTTTTTTTTATCCAACTGTATAAACTGGTGACAAGGAAAAGTTGCAAAATTCTACTATTCCTGGAAGTTTAAAAGATCAACAGGTTGCATTTCACGATCATCTCTGCTATTTTAGCGAGCTTTTTGTGTGACTGGCTGCATTTATTCGTCTAGTAAAATCTCCCGTTTTTATACCAGCTGAATAGTTCTGTGTGTCATGTTTTATGTCCACTACCTGCTATGCAGTCAAGCTGTAGGATCATATCTATAAAACATACAGAAGTGAAACTGCCCCCAATCTTCCATTTAAAAACAACAAAATAGTTCAGTAGATTTACCCTTAATCCCATTTACCCTTGATTCCTCCAGGGGGAACATTTTTGAAGATGGATGATTCATTGGTAAAATGGTCTTCTGTCAAAGAAGCTTTCTTAATGTACGCTGTCTTAGCAACCATTATACAGAAAAAAGCTTTCAAGGACAATTATGCTTACATTACAACTTCATTGTCTGGTGTGCAAGAGAACGTTTGTTTAAATTTCCTGGTAACCAAAGCCATGCAGCACTTGACACAGCTTTGCCTTCACTTTATCTCTAAAATCCTAACTGTTAAGGAGTTCAAAATGCAGCATGAGGAGCAGTTGAATTCATATTATCTGTATTCACTTCAGAAGTGAATACAGCCATGTTATAAACTGGATTAGGCTGTAAGCATGTGTTTGAAGAATTTAGGTGCAACATGCCTGGTTCAAGCCAGTTACAAACATGATTATAACTTATTGAGTAGGCAGACTGGACCAAATAGTGTGTTTTGTAATTAAGCAGAACCGCTGAAACTTGCTTTAATATAAGCACAGGAATTACCAGCAAAATCTCTTCCCTTGTTTACTGAGAGGCTTTTTTAGTTGCACAGACCTTCACGTGATGGCAATAGGAACTGTTTGTTGTGCTGCTTCTGTTGTCTGCATGCATCATTGATCAATGTAAAGGTTTTATTGGCAGATAGTATTGTCTTTCTCCACCAAAGAACCAGGAAACCACTAAGCAGCTTTTCAACTAGTTTTTGATTTAATTTCTGGTCTTACAAGGATGACATTCAGTAGCAGTCCTTAGTGTGGTGCTTTTTCTATTCCCAAAGTAAGTTTATGCAGCAGACTTATTACTCTGTGAAAGCACCTACCACCATTCACAGTAGGTATCTTTTAACTGTCTTGGTTTTACTGCCACATAATATTGAGTGAAGCCAAAGAACTGACATTCTGAAGAGCGGACTAATCAGTAGCCTGGCATTATTTAAACAGGGACACCTGGTGATTTAATGTTCCTGTGGGTATGTCTACGTTGTCGTCAGAGGCATGAGTGTAGCTGGTGCTTTAGACCGGCTAGCATAGGGGTTGGTAGCTGCAGCATCAAGATTTGTTTGCTGCCCTAATTAAATACTTGGGGTGGCCAATCTAAACAGAGCTTCTGCTAGGACTGTGCTGCCAGCGATTAATGGTACCCAAGCTAGTGAGTTTTTAAAACTGCTTTGATATGAATGCACAGCCTGCAGTTGGACCCTTGATCGTACTGTAGACCTACCCTTTGTTAGTCCTTCGAGTGTAGGCACTGTAGATATTGCATGTTAACAGTTTGTCAGGGGGTTCATGCTTACTTTGTTTCCGAGCTTTGGAACTGGAATTACTAGGCTTGCACGTTCTAGCGACAGTGTTAGACAGACAAAGACCATGTCCGTTCAAATAGTATAATAGTGTTTGGCCAAGGATTGCTTAATTGCAATACTCCTGTCATGGTCCAGGCAGGCCATATGTAGCATTGGATCTTCACTGTAACCAGTTTGGGGATCAACAATATCGCAGAGATTCGTGGAGAGATGGTTACAGCATTAACGCATTTTATAGTGTGGTTGGCGTCCAACTTCTGAAGCGTAGGATCCAGAGGGCCTGGATTCTTCTAATTCCATCACAAGCCAGCTTTGAAGTCCTGCTATTTCTAGAGTTTTAAAAATTGGAAGTAGTGCTGTAAAAATATTCTGTGAACTGCTTCGTTAGTAGGAGGCTCGGGCCAAACAGGAGGAAGTTCAAGGTGATAACAGCTTGGATGAGGATTACAGAAGATATGAGTGTGTGCATTTCTAGTGAGACTGCAGAACCAGTGAATTATGTGCTGAGAGATCATTCTACTTCAGACAATAGTTTGCAATAGAAATCTATTGAACAAAGAGCTTGTTTACATTGTTTCTCTTTCAATTTTCCCTCCCTGACTAACTTTTTTATAAATTTTGTTCTTGTGTTTTCTCTCTGCCCACCATCTGCCGTATGAACAGCATTACCTACCTAAGAAATCCAGTGCTGCTGCTGCTGGTCACAGCAGCAACTAGGGATATCACTTTACCTGGTTTTGCCACTTATTGGGCAGCAGCAGCAAGCCGCTTTAGACTTAGCTCTGCTTTTAGAGCAAGCCTGCAAGAGCATGAACACCACCCCTCCTGCATCTAGCTGAGTTGTTTGAGGGTGTCACTATTTTCCAGGAAGAGCATCCTTTCTTTTCTTTTCTTTGTTTTTTTTGTGTAACTGTGAATATACATTGTATAGATAACTGAGCGCTGGTTGGAGTTTCCAGACTGGCACTGAGGGCGTACCAGTTAGAGACTGGCGCAGACGAGAGTCTTCAAGGCTCTGTGAATGTCCCATTTGTTCTGTGCAGTGAATTGTAATCTCAGCCTTTGGAACAGAACAACCCTTAGTTACCTTTTGTTGTTCTTGAATTGCAAGTCTGCCGCTTCACACATGTAGAATTTTTTTGGAAACTTAGCTTAAGCAGAGCACATAATCCTCTGATTTCATTTTCTGTGTGCAACATGCTACCAATGTCCAGTTGATATACTAAAAACAAAACAAAACCCAGCACTGGCAACTTGGAAAACTGTCATTCACTATTGTCTCCCAAGTATAAAGACTAAATTTATGAAGCCTGTGGAAGAAAAGGAGCATTACGTTTGTTAGGAATATTGAAAATGATTAACAAAGTATGGGATTACCAATGTAACTCCAGTTTGTAGGAGTGTTAGCTGTTTAGTCTGAAAATGTCCTGCTTGCAGGTATTAAGGGGGAAAATATACCCTGCGCCTAGAGGAAAATATTCTTCTTTGATTGATGGATAGATTGTAATGGTGTTTGTTGCATTTAAAATGACATATTCTTTATTAAATAATTGATAGTGGGTATTTTTTTTCTCATTATAGAAAGCCTAGAATAAACTCACAGTTGGTGGCACAACAAGTTGCTCAGCAATATGCGACCCCACCACCACCTAAAAAGGAAAAGAAAGAGAAAGTGGAAAAGCAAGACAAAGAAAAACCTGACAAGGAAAAAGAAATCAGTCCAAGTGTTACAAAGAAGAACAACACCAAGAAGACTAAGTAAGTGACAAGGGCAGACTAGTAAGACGCAGAGCTCTTCTCTGCTGAAGCTTTAAGTAGTGATGTTGTCAGGCAGTCCTGTACATTATTCAGCCAGAAACCTGCTGTTATATTTTCTCTCTTTTTCCTTTTGCAGACCAAAGTCAGATATTGTGAAAGATCCTCCTAGTGAAGCAAACAGTATACAGTCTGGGAATACAACAACAAAGACCAGCGACTCAAATCACACTTCAAGGTAACTCTTACAGAATCAGCTGCTGTAGCTACTGTTCTTGACGTCTCTCACTAATGAAACATCAAAACTGAATTGAATGGAAAGGTCCCAACTGGTAGTTTTGTAAAAACTGAATTAACAGACCTGGAAACAGAGTATTTGTACTTCCCCACAGAATGAGTGTGGTGAGGGCATCAGTAGTGCCTATGCACATGAACATTTCTGGAAAGAGCAGCTTCAAGTAGTGCAAATAATCATTAATAGCTGCTTGGTTCTTGCCCTCTAATAAAGGAGTCAGAATTCGGTCGGGGTGGCAGTTGTTTGGCTGCCAAACTGCGGTGTAAAAAAAATCAGTATTAAGCAGTGTTTAAATTGTCACCTGTTAGCTTCTTCACATCTTCTTTCCCTCATACTCAATAACAACGTGAGACGTGGGCATGTTATGTTCTCCGGGAGCCTTGCCCTTTAATACAAGCACTTCGGTTATCTGGAGAATTTGTTTTTGAATGTATGCTTTTAAGGACCGTAGGAGATCTTGCCTGAACAGGGGGAACTTTCTATCCCTTTGCCTCAAGGTAAAGTGGATGGTTGAAATAGGTAAGTTGGATGGCAGTTGACCTGTGTGCTAGGGTCCAATCTTGCCCTCAGTGGTTGACACATTTTTTTTTTTTAAATATGAAGTCTTACTCCTTATTTCTCAAAATCAGCAGTTACTAATCTTGGAGGCCAAATTCTGGCCTTGTAACAACTTGAAATTATAGAGGTCATGAAAGCAGGATTTGACCACAAAGTTTGGACACCTAAATCTCACTGGAACTTGATGGCGTGTGTGTTGTCTACGTGTGCATGTGAATTGCACTCTACAATGTCTTGTCATGAAACTTAGCTGAATTGCTGTGGTTTGTGGAAAATGTGTAACTGAAACTAATGGGTTGTGTACTACTCTGGTATTAAGTTTGGTTAAACAAGGTCTCCAGTCCGCTGCATATGGATGCTAATATTACACAATTCAACAGAATTGCTACTATATTGGAAATTCCTAAGCTATAAGAAAGCAAATGTTTGCCAATCCTAGCTATTCTTCACACGTTTGGTGCTTTGGCTCACTTAAACTGCAGAACTAGTGAAGACTCCATTTGCTCTACTTGACTTAAAAGATTGAGTTAACTATTGACGAGCGCTGCCTTTCTTCTCTCGAGGATTTGTGTCTTTACTGTATAAATGTGTTGCAGCAATATTCAGTGATCTTGGTCATAGGAGGTTTTTGACATGCCTTGCCAGTCAGCTATCATTAAATGGTTAGGTTTTATATATCTATAACGAGTGACCTAGGTTGGGTGAACTTCTTAGCAGGATTGTTCAGTCACTGTGGGGCTATTCTAATCTATTCTGTGCATCATGGCAAGATTTTATTATACCAAAATAGTTTTCGAAGGTTGTCAGGTCTGACCTAGGACCTTACCCAGCTTTGGTGATACAGCAGCTTCCTACCTGCAATTTTGATAGTTTTAACACTTTTGCTGCTCTAACCCTGGTTTTCTTGTTGCAGCTTCAGCTCCTGGCTGTCAGTGAGGTTCATCAACCCCAGGTCCCTTTTTAAATAGCTTTTATTTGTATAGAAACACTTTATCATTTATTCAGTCTTTGTCCTTGTTCAGATCTCTCAACCATTTTTTAGCAAGCTGGGAACTAACCCTCTCAAATTCTGAGAAATCTGTGTGGGTCTTGGGGCATTTGTCCAAGGGGGTGGCAGGATGGTCTTTTGTCTCCAGTTGTTACTTCTTGTTAATGTAAAGCCTGCAGCATGCTGTTAAGGTGCAGTGCTCCCACTGTACTAGGCTCTGTAGAAAATACCAGATACTTGTGGGGACAGTGCTCCCCCCTTGCAGCACGTTTAAGGGCCATTGTAAATTCCAAGTGTTCAAGAGACTCGGACCTTCTGTACTCCCCATGGGCCAGTCAGTCTGTGCTAGTGCTCCTCTGATCGCTACCACCTTTCAGCTGTGCTTGTGGCAGGAACATGGCCACATGCTTCTGCTGACTGTGGCCTTAGTCCGAACTTCTATCCCATACCTGCATGATGGATTAACTGCTGGTAGCAAATGAGCAGCTGTTGATGTGCTGAAGTATGTAGAAGTTTTCCCCAGCATTGAGGAGCCAGAAACCCCAGCAGTTACAAAACTGGGTCTCTCCTGCACCATTAAAGCAACCCCCAGACGTGTAATGGCAAATGGTGTATTTTCCAATTTCAGCGTTTGTATGAAAATTCAGCTGTACATTTAATTTCATTAGTCAACCATATCTTGTCATATAACTGAGGGGGAGTCTCTATTCTGAGGTGGATCTTGAAGGACATTTCTCATTGCTCATGCATTTTAAGCTAGGAAATCGAAATGTATGCATTGCAAAGCTCTTTCATATTAGGTTGGTTTGTCTTCCTCTGTAGAAATGCATTTGAGATCACCAAGAGGAGAAGAGTGTGGACAGGGAGATAATCCAGGCCAGGATTTTTAGCTGTTCCTGAGCATGAGAGAAACAAACAGGCCAGTAAAATTACAGGAAGAGCTGGGTTTCCTAGAGGAACTTGGGGCTTGGGGCAGAAAAATATATAAACTTACTACACTTCCTGGCATGCTTACCGTAGTGATGTTGGGCATGCTCAGGCTGCTGAGCCTATGCCTAAGAACTGCTGAAACCCCCGGTTATGCTGAGCTACTTGGCCTTTCTCCTCCTCCACAAACTGGGTGACGTTAATCACTTCATCTAAGTCTGTGGTTATATGTGAAAATTTCACACACTCTTGTACGTATGGGTAGACAGCACACAGGCATGTGGGTGTAGGACTTGGTATTCAAATTTACTGAGAGTAACAACAGCTTTGAAGAATGGAGTTACTTAGTGGAAAGGGAATAAATGGTAAATAGAAACAAGGTTATTCCATGGCTGTTTTAGCTCAGTCCAGGAAAATTTTAAGCACGTTTTAAATAAATATTATAAATGCAGTGAATAAGAACATTGCTTCATGGGTTACCTGTATAGCTACTACTTTGGAATAAGAGCATCTCGGAGGATTTGCAAGAATGTTATTATTTGCCCTCAGAAACTTTCAGTCCATCACTATTTTCCGCAGGCTGATAGTCCTAGTGCAGCTTCCCAGTGTTTCTTAAAGGATCATCGCTTGGAAGAGGCAGCCTTAGAAAGATCATCTGCAGGTTCCTCCCATGAATAGGCTGGGAAAAGAAAAGATCATTTTTCTTTCCTATCTTTGCTGTTCTGAGCTAGCTTAAAATGAGCTACAAGCAGACAAGAAATGGCAGGCTCATTCTGATACCTGCTTGTCTAGAAGCTGGGGCTTGGTCTTGAATTAACCCATCTTCCCCCATATCTCTTAAGAAGGCAACTTCCCAGTGACCTGGAGAATAACCTCAGTAATTACCCTGCTTGGGAATTTTCCACTGCCTGTCATATCCTTGGTTGCAAGGGGGAGGAGTTGATTGTAAAAATGCAGATAGTCACAGAAGGTATCCAGGTTGTAGTAGTCATGTTTGTCTAGAGGCAAAAGGAATCAAAACTTGTGGAAGAGGTGATATCTTTTATTAGATCAACTAGATATTTGCAAAGAAATTAGTCACAGAAGAAACTTTGTCTTCCAGTAGCTAGAGATAAGTCGTTAGACCACCTTCGGTACTTCCTCGTTCAAGTTGGCCTTTAATTCATTTCATTGTATATTTGTATCAGAGCCTTGAAAGCATACGCGGATGTCAGTCTCTGTGCACAGCCCAGTTCCTTATTAGCCGGTTTACTAATTGCATGATAGCACAGCACGCAAATTACTGAGATAATCCTGAGCTATAAATACCAATGCGCTCTGCTCTCTGTGTTGTCTCCTAATGGGGAAAGAGCTAACTGAAAACTAGAATTGAATGCTCAGGGTTTTACTTCCAACAGCCTTGTTCAGGAGGGAGCATTTTGAGCTGTTTCATATGCGGGCTGGTTGGGCATCTCATTCATATAAATTGGGAACAACTGAGCAGGAAAGCCAGGTTGTCCCAGTGCCCAACTTGCTTGCAGCTGCAGAGTTTCCATATGGGAATGAAAGAGCCATGTTCAAATGCTTTCATGTGGTTTTGTATTGCAAAGTCACAGCCTTGTCTCATTATATCAGGGCACGTGATGAGATGGAGAATTCAGATAACAGTTCTTTCATCTGCCCTGTGGGGAGGGGATCCTGAGGATTTCTATGGCTCCTGTCCCCACAGCTGTCAGAATAGGGTTGAGGGTACCTCTTTAACCTTCCCATCCTCTTGGCAGAGCTCTGCCAGGCAGCCCTTCCCCCTTAGGCATGAACATGCTCCTGCTACAACCCACACAGACTGTACTACCGCAGGAGCAAAAAGCCTGCTGAGTCCTTTGCGTGCTCCGCACAGCTCCAAGCATGGGGCGGTGCTGCATTCTCTTCCAAATGTCCGAGACCTGCCTGTGCAAGCGAGCTGCTGATGCAGAAGGTTTTGTCTCAAACACTGTTCCTAACAAACCTTTCCTTCTCCCCTCTTCTGTTCTTTTTTTAGACCCAGACTGAAAAATGTGGACAGAAGTACTGCACAGCAGCTGGCAGTCACAGTGGGGAACGTCACAGTGATTATCACAGACTTTAAAGAAAAGACTCGCTCCTCTTCCACATCCTCATCTACAGTGACCTCCAGTGCAGGATCAGAACAACAGAATCAGAGCAGCTCTGGCTCTGAGAGCACAGACAAGGGCTCGTCCCGCTCCTCCACACCCAAGGGGGACATGTCAGCAGTCAACGATGAATCTTTCTGAAAATTGCACATGGAGTTGTGGAAAACTATGAATCAGGGTATGAAATTCAAACACTCCACCTGCCCATGCTGTTTAAATCCTGGAGAGCCTCTTCTGTGCTTGAACATACACTTTCTTGGACATCGACCTCTTACTGATGCAACCAGGATAATTTCTGCTTGCCATGGGCATCTGGCCACCAAGGAATTTCGCACCCTGACGATTACTCTTGACACTTTTATGTATTCCATTGTTTTATATGATTTTCCTAACAATCATTTATAATTGGATGTGCTCCTGAATCTACTTTTTTATAATATCTGCTGTGCACAATTTTCCATGAACATTACAACCTTTTGTTTTTGGAGTGGGGGGGGGGAGGGCAGGGGAAGGGGGCTTTATTTATTGCATTCACAAACTCCATCCTCTTTTTCAGCATATCCTTTAAGTTCAGTTCTTCCTCCAGTTATACTCTGTACTATCAGTTTTGATATAAATTATATATAAATATATATATAAATAAATATATATAAAGGGTTATTTGAAACCAATACATGGAAACGCTGGTGCTTGAAACACTGTGAAGCGAAACAATGATATTGAACAGTAAAGATCTGGGACAGTCCCCTTCTGTGAAAGTGCTG